AATTATGACAAGTAGTTAAATGCAATGAAAGGTGAGTTGAAATTTATTGAACATAATGAAATCTGGAATCTCGTCAAATTACCTGAATCATGTAAAATAGTTGGGTGTAAATGTGTCTTTAAGACCAAATGTGACTCTAATGGTAATATCACACAATATAAAGCTAAACTTATTACCAAATGTTTTACTCAGAAATGTGAGATTGATTATAGAAAGACACTTTTGCCAGTCTCTATGAAAGACTCACTCAGAATTATATTGGCTTTAGTAACTCGTTATAACTTAGAGCTACATTAAATGGATGTAAAAATCGCCTTTTAAATGGAAATTTAGATGAAGAACTTTATATGAATCAATTGAAGGTTTTTCAACTAAAGGAAAGGAACACGTGGTGTGTTAGTTAAAGAAATTAAGATACGGGCTTAAACAGGCTTTCTGTCAATGGTATCTTAAGTTCAACGATACCATTACTTTTTTTTCTATTTAAGGAAATCGATGTATATATTGAAAGGTAGTGAGATCAAATTTATATTTTTTATTCGGTATGTTAATGACATCTTGCTAGCTACTAATGATCTTAATCTATTATATGAGACTAAGAAATTTCTCTCTAAAATTTTTGAAATGAAAGCTATGGGAGATTTGATCTATATGATTGGAATTGAAATATTCTGAGATATGTCAAAAGGATTGTTAGGGTTATCTCAGAAAGCATGTATCAATAAGGTTTTAGAGAGATTTGAGATGGAAAATTATTCATCCAATGTCATTCCAATTCAGAAAAGAGATAAATTTAATCTCATGCAATGTCCTAAGAACGAATTGAAATGAAAACAAATGGCAATTATACCTTATGCATCTCTTATTGGGAGATTAATGTATGCTCAGATAGACCAGACATCAGTTTTACTGTCAGAATGCTGGGCAGGTATCAAAGTGGCCCAAGACTTAATCATTGGAAAGCTGCAAAGAAAGTATTAAGATATTTCCAAGGAACGAAAGGCCACATGCTCACTTATAGGAGATCTGATAACTTGGAGGTAATTGAATATTGAGATTCAGACTTTACTGGATGTGTGGACACTAAAAAGTCCACATTTGGCTATCTAATCCTCTTGGCTGGAGGGGCTATATCATGGAAAAGTACAAAAGTAGTCGATTATCACTGTATCCAATATGAAAGCTGACTTTGTAGCAGCTTTGAGGTACAGTTCAAGAAAATTGGCTGTCGAACATTATTTCAGGGCTTGGAATTGTAAACAGTATTGCTAGCCGTTGAAAATTTATTGTGACAATTAAGTAGCAATCTTCTTTTCAAAGAGCGTTAGGTACTCTAAAGGTGCTAAACACATAGAATTGAAGTACTTTTTTGTTAAAGAAGAAGTTCAAAAACAAAAATTGTCAATCAAATAAATTAGCAACAATCTTACAATTGCAGATCCATTAATGAAAGAATTACTGCCAAAGACATTTAATGAACATGTCAAGAGAATGGACGTTATTTGAAATGATCATTGGCATTATTATGGTGTTTATGTATTGATACTTTGAGCTCATTTATATATTGTTTTTGACAAAATATTATTCCTGTCATAATAGTTGGTATATGTTCATGAATGGATTATATGAATGTTGACAAGGATAGTCTTTTCGAAGACATTATTATAATGTAATTATCGAACTTTCATTAATGTCATGTATGGTGGGGACTAATATTGTAGTACATAGAAGGAACTATGCCGAAATAATGGTGTACAACTGGCACGACTCTTATTAGTCTTCATTTAAGGATGACATATCAAGCAACCAATGTATAAGGGATTTCAGCTTATGGTATATGCATTGTGTTATAAAGCATATAACGATGTAATATTACATGAGCCAAGTGGGAGAATGTTAAAAACCTTGTTTGGCAATGTTAATCCGTTAAATACACATGGTGCCCCTATTTATGCTTCAATTAATATGTGCAGTTATGATTCAATTGCATACATGGCTGTTCATAAATACCCCCCTCTTTGTGCTCCCACAAATAAACCTATTGGGTGTATGTTGGTATACGGTATTAAAGAAGAAAAACAATTAATGTGCAATTGTGTGTAACAAATATGTCCTTTAGGAATACGGATCCTCCAAACTATGCCTGCTAAACTACTGGATTACAAATAATTGAACATGTACAATGTTTTTATTTCTGTGGTGTCTTTTGTGTTCAACACTGTCTCAATCCTTTTGACTAAATTTCATGTAAATTTACTTCATTTTTAACAAATTATAACTTATGCCCACCTTAAAAGATATGATTGAGTGTAATTTTCACTTGTTAACCTTTTTAGCTTCTATGGATCAATGTTCAAATCATCTTTGTTATTGGGCCTTGGGCATTTCCGAAATTGGGCTTCTTTTGAAGAGATAAAGCCCAATCCAATACACAAAAAAATGGAACTAAATATAAGGAATTTCAGCCACAATTAAAGTGGCCCAACCAAATTTTCACTCTAAATCTCTTTCCACCTAGTCTTCTTCATTTTTTCAAGCTCTGCTCTCTCGTACATCTGCAACAATGGAGTAAGTTCTATCAATTAATAAAAAATCATCTCATTCAATCAAAATTTTATGAATCATTCTAAGTGTAGAGGGGCTTTATAGCGCAGCACTTGTGCGGTTGATTTATTATTATTATTATTATTATTATTATTATTATTATTATTATTATTATTATTATTATTATTATGCCATCACCCTATGGAATTGTGCCACATCCTCCTTGAAATGGCCGTTGCTACCATTCCCCTGGTACCAAGAAACTCCTAATAAATCCAACTCATTTTTGTTGATGGATGCGATTTTGCTGATTTTTTTTATGATGAATATGCTTTTTAACAAGTTAAAATGTTTAGAGAGGATGAAGATAATTGAAACCTGGAGGAATTATTTGCAGAACCTACACAATGAGATATGTATTTCTAAAATACTTATTTTATTTTATGATAAATTTCTAATTCATATTTTAAACATTAGTCTTCTTATCTCATGGTGACTTGCCTGATGATATACTAATTGACATTCTTGGTCGTCCATTGATCGAGAATTTGAAGGAAACTATGCCCAGTAGTCAAATATTTTGTCGTATTTCTAGGATTTTTTTAGTGCGCCTAGGACTATCTCGTATTGCCCAGGTAAATGAAATTGCACCACTATAAGATTATATTTATAGTTAATTATAACCTATAGGTTATAAACATTTAATATATACTTTGCTCTATTGTAGTTTGGGGATGTTGCAAATGTGGAGAATGATGTAGGATATATGGGGATGCACCAACGGTTGATACGATTGTTAGTAGGGACGCAAAAATTGTAAAGTGCTTTGGATTAGTCGAGGAAAAAAAAATTGTACAAGTTAAGATTAGGGGAATTACGTATTTAATAATAAAGTCCTAGATTTAAAATTTTCAATTTCATATTTTTATTGTACTTGGAACCATAAAGAAGAATTAAATTATATTGGTTTAGATAGATGATCCAATTGCGTTTCAAAAGTATGATTGGTCCATTTACTTTTTGAGTATTTTAGAAATACGTACCCATTGATGTAGATTTTGCAAATAATTCCTCCAGGTTCCAATTATCTCAATCATCTCTAAATATTTTAACTCATTAAAATTAAAGCATATTCATCATAAAAAATCAGCAAAATCACATCCATCAACAAAAATAAGTTGGGTGCACTGAGAGTTTCTTAGTACCACGGGAATGGTAGCCACGGCCATTACAAGGAGGATCAATAGGGCAATGGCATAATAATAATAATAATAATAATAATAATAATAATAATAATAATAATAATAATAATAATAATAATAAAATCAACCGCATAGTGTCTTTGCTCTAAAGTCCCTGTACACTTAGAATGATTCATAAAATGCTAGATTTAATCCATTGTTGCAGATGTACGAGAGAACGGAGCTACCATTGTTGCAAATGAACGAGAGAATGGAGCTTGAAGAAATGAAAAGGACTAGGAGTAAAGAGATTTAAAGTGAAAATTTGGCTGGCCATTCATGGGCCACTTTAATTGTAGCTAATATTCCTTAAATTTAATTCCATTTTTCTGTGTATTGGACTGGGCTTTATCCCTTCAAAAGAAGCCCAATTCCTGAAATGCCCGAGGCTCGGTAACAAAAAGGGAAAAAGTTAGTGTTCTTTTCTTCTTTAATTAACATATCATGCCTTGTTAGTGTTCTTTGCTGATATCAAATCTTGGAAGCTAGTACCAATGGTATGGTGTGGTTTGACAACAGCAATCTGAAAATTCACAAAAAAAAATAACTCAAAACATTTACGTGAGAATATAAAAAGAGAATTGGAATATATATTTACCTAATAAACTCATTTCATATGAAGAATGGAGAAATGGCATGAAAAATAAGTGAAATTCTAGATTTACCAGAAAGTGCTGCGCTGATCTCTCAAAATCAAGTTTCCTAATAGCAAGTTCACAGCTTTGGGAGACAATAGACTCAGGATCCTCAGCAAATTTCTCTAGCAGCATGATACATTTGCGGTCTACAAATCCATAAGATGCATGAAAGAAGAATTGTGCAAAATAAAAAAGGAAAATTATACGATTGAAGATCAAGTAAAATATATAGAGAATAAACCAGATTATTTTTTCTTTTTACACCTATTCTTCATCCATAAAAATATGTACATAACAGCATGGTAATTGGTAAAGTCTGTGCCAATCTTTTTGAGAGATTTTGCATCAAGTGACAGGTATAAGTTCCTTTCTAAGAGTTTCCTAGTCTCAGAACTCTAATGAATTTAATCCTTCAATGCCCTTAAAATTTTTATATCAATTTGTTGGAACTTTTTCACCAACTCATAAAATTAATTTAACTGGAAAAACCTGGGATAGAGCATGAAAAGCTTTGTTGTTCCCTATTTGAAGCAAGCAATATGCAACCCGGAGAACAGGTCAATAGAACATTAGACGTTCAAGTAATAGAGTCAATTCCTCTAGTTACAACCAGAACCAACTTCCCAAACACAAAAGCTCAAGTATTGAGAGTCGCTCTCTATCTACTTTGTCCATGTGTGTGCATGTGATCTCTATTTCGTTATAGGGTAATGTCCCTTTAGAAAAACTTAGGATTAAAGCATAAAATGAAAACGTACATGGTACCGTAGAACTGCGCTTTCTGCATATAGGGATTCAATAATAGCCGAGATTGCTTCCTCAGTACAAGAGGTAGGATGAAGACAATACAGTCGAAGTGAAAAAAGAGCAGAGCAACGCTCATATAGGCTATTGTCTTCATTCAATAGAACTTCCCCGAATAATATACTAGAGAACAAAACAACTCATTATATGGACTGGTAAGAACATATTATGATTATCAATCTATATCAAGAATTGCAAACCTTAATTCTGGCACAGGGCGAAAGAGCAATGGAGCCGCTTCCAACAAATTGAAACATCTTAATTCATTAGGCTTCGCGTTTGTTAGCTCCCTAATTCGATTAAGAGCCAGTTCACATGATTCTTTAACTTCTTTAGATGGACCTGATTCGAAACTAGTCTTCAAGACTGGAACACTACTCTCTAATCCAAACGCACCAAGTGTTTCGCGCAGGAAGTCGCTAACAATTAAAAATGGATCAGACAATTGTGTAAGGGACAAACCTCTTGAGATAAAGTCCCAAAAAATGGTGTTTTATTGACAATGATTTACGATTGGAACTAAACAGAATGCCTCCAAGGGGCGCAAGCACACGAGTACTGAAAGAAATGTTTAAGTTTAAACTAAGAAATTGAAATTACATATTCTCTGTTTGAGAGTGTTTGATTCGGGTCCTTTCTCTATGTCTTTTCTTCCTTTTATATTCCTTTGATAATTTCTTTATGACAAACCGCTTGGAAACTGCTTGATTGCTTTATAACTATCCACTTTCTTTATGATGGCTAACTTGTCGTGGAATTGCCGTCTCTAACTGCTGCCACTACTCTTTGTCGTTCAACCGCCTTTAATTAGGTTCCTTGAATCGCGGAATGTGATAAGGTTACTCAATAACTGCTTCAATAACTCCATTTCTGGATAACCATAACATTTTATGTTTGCTAAAATCCTGGGCGATTTGAAGGTATGGGCGAGAACAGAGTCATCACTCTGGGCAACTGTAAGGCACTCCATTCGCTCAGATTTTGAGCGTCTTGCAAGCTTGGGCGATGATGTTACTGTGTTCGTGGACTTTCACTGCATTCATTAATAATCCTGTCTGGGCCTTTATCCTGAATTGCCCAATTTGGGCTACATTCTTTGGGTTATTTGATTTGGAAATTTCTCAATTGGGCTTCATTCCTTGAGCTATTCGATTTGGGCTGTACTTTTAGTGTGTCAACAATTACCCCTCAATATGGCAGAATTAATACTAATTATTAATCTTTGCCATATTTATTTTGTATTTTCCAGCAACATTTGAAATTTCCAAGAATTTCAATCATTATTTCTTTCCGTAGCCTGAAAAGGTGCGACGTTGCAAACCCTTATAAACCCCAAAGACACGTCATTTCATCGCACCACTAAATCACGTCTCATTATTTCGCGCTTCTTTCTCGCAATATTATTGTTCATCTTCTTGCTTCTCTGCTACGTTTCTCAAGCAAACTTTTAACAAAACTGTATTTCGTTCCCAATGGCAGTTCCACAAACCCAATCTGATGACTCTTTTAGCTTCGAAGATTTCCAGAAAATCCTTACTCGGCCATATGTAAATCCGAACTTTCTTGCACCAGCCAATGCCGAACTCAATGAGTTCTATCTAGGTCCATCATTCAACAACGCCGAAGCCGTCGAACAAGTGGCGATGGGCCAGCTGTTCCCTTGCACTCAAGGCCCTCCGTTCCTGAACTCTTTACCGCTGAGGCCGATTCGCGAAAAAGGTATTCGCACTTGGCCTAAATCTGATGTTATTTTTCGTAGATGGCATGCTCGCCTTGTGGGCCATGGTCCTACCAAGGCAATTTTTGATCGTGCTAGGATTTCTGATTTATTAGAAATTGCTCTTCAACCCCCAATTTTTGACCCAGTGCTCTTTCCTATTGTTTTAAGTTTTTGGTCTTCTAAATATAATACATTTGTTTTCCCTCTTGGCCCCATGTCTATTACTTTAAAGGATGTTGGGGCCCTAGTAAATCTTCCACCTTTGGGCGATACCATTTTCCCTGGCATTTTGATTTCCGGTGTCGCCCCGAAATTTGAAAAAGAAACTCACTGAGTCCTACTCAAACCTACAAAGCTATTATAATCACTCAAGTGCTGAACCTTCCCATGTTGAGAGTGTGGCCTTTCTTCAGATTTGGCTATGTAAATATATTCTCTGCGTGCCAAGTATGAAGCCTTCCATGAGTTACTTACCCATAGCGCATGAATTGGCGCGTAGTAGGCATTTGAATTTGTGTTCCTTCTTTTTGGCTGCCCTTTATAGAGGCATGACTTCTCTTCAATTTCAATTGAAGAATGGTGCATCTCCTACTGGCAGTGGGCCTCTTTGGTTCACTCAGCTGTGGTTGAGAGCATATTTTCCACCACTTGGTGCTCCATCCATTTCCAGTCATTCTGCTAGCTGCTATGGGCTAGCCATTGATCCACTGACCCCTGTACATATGTCTAGTAGGGACATTTTTTCATTCTTTTATTCCTTAAATTCGATTCCTTCTTTCTTTCCCTTTCCTGCTCATTTGACTCCAGATTATGTGCAACCTCCGTCCACCCTGGACAGTGCAAGCACCTCTCTGCTTGTTTGGGTTCAGTTTTTGACTGGGAGGGAGTTGTTCCATGATATTTTAACTGGAACCAATGCCAAAGTTGGGGTTGAAATATATGCTTTCCAATTTTTTGCTCGCCAACTTGGTTTTGGCCAAACTTGACATGTTCCTCCTTGCTATTCAAAAAATTTGACAGACCGCTTTCACATCGTTAATAAGGCAGAGGCACAAGTTATAAATGCTCGCAACATTCTTTTGACGAGTAAATTTTCATTAGCTCCCTTCAATTCTAGCCGTGTCATCCATCCCCTTTTTGAACAACTCTGGCTATCAGTGAAGCGCAGATTGTTTGTAACTGATGCCAATTGTGCTTTCCATTCACTGGATCAGCCAAACACTTCTTCCACTTTTTCTATTTTGGTCACCCCTGTGTCCATTAGGAATCATTCCTCCCTTGCTCGTGCTAAACAATCTATTCGTCCATCTACTTCCCTACCTTCCAAGGCTACTGCAGCTAAAAGTGCCTTAGGCCGCAAACGGCCAGCTTCAGTATCTCCCATTTTAGAGGATGATGATAATGATGATGATGACGCTCCTCTCATAGTTAAGAGAAAGGTAATTGAATTCTGTTTATTCACAAACATACCTTTCTATGTGCTAATGGTTTACTTGAATTTCTCAGAAAAGTTCAACCTCTCATTTGAAGGCTTTGGTGTTGGCAGCTCCTGCTTCATCATCCTCTGTCGAAGCTGCTTCGTCCAAATCAGTTGATGAAGGGACTATGCTTAAAGAGAAACCTTTAGTCCCGGAACCTTCATCATAACCAATGGAAGAGCCACCTTCTTCTCAGGGCGCCGACCTCCCAAATATCGAACCAGAAGGTAATACATTTTTTGATGTTTTACCTTTACTTGTGCTATTGATTTTTGATTTGTTGCTTCTTGAATTTTACAGAGGCTTCCATGGGTCTGCCCGTCGTGGCAGAGTCTTCTTGCCCAGATAAGGAGAAGTCTCCACAGGTGGTGAAGCCAACTGTGATTTGCCACTTCCCAAGATTGCTGATGAGGTAACCTTTTGCTTTACTTTCATTTTCGCTTCGTTTATTGTAGTGAAAGCCCTCAATGTTGGCATTTTTCTTTGTAGGGTGCTGATGACATTGTGCGTTCCATCTAGGATTTGTTCACCCCCTGGGGGCAAGTCAAGACGTCTCACCCTACTTCAACCGGTCGTCCTTTTGCTTCTTCAGAGAAAGATATGAAGTTCCTCAAGCAGTCGATATTTGAGTATGTGTCTTTTATGGACGTGGACATCGGTCAGGCTAGTGTTGCTAAACATAAGGATAAACTTGAGCTATTGAGTGCGAAGTTGGCGCAAGCACTGACACTTCCGTCGCTCAATATTTCTGCTGATTTTAAAGCGACATTGAAGGTTGTCCACTCTGACATCCTCTCCTTGCCGGCCAAAAATGTTGAACTGAAGGCCAGGAGTACTCAATATCTTCGCGCTGCATCTAAAAGAGAGTCTTTGCTTTTAGAGATTAACAAAGCTGAGGACGAATTGAAAGAAATCTCTTCCGAAGTCATGATTGAAGACTCCTTGATGACCAGTTTGGCTACAGAGATGAAGGAGCTTCAAGCAAGGATGGGCGACTGTAAGGCGAGAATGGCTGCCAAAAAGCGTAATGCTTCCCAAGGAATTGAGCGAACCAAGTCTTTGGTCAAGCAGTACAAAAAGCTGGAGGTTGATGACGATTTTGTAGCTGAATTAAATGTCGCTTCTTCTCAGCAGAGCGAGGATTGGGGGAGACTTAGGGAAAGAATTCGATTGGCCTGGGGTGAATTGTAATTAAGACATCTAATACCTTAAATTTTCCTTTTGTAACTTTGTACTAACTGCCATTGCTAAATTTGAATGTAACAGCAGCCATTGTCATTAATGAACGACTATTTTGACTACTTGTGTGCTAATTGACGTTGTCCTTAATCGTCAACCCCCAAGCATTTAACCGCTTTATGCTAAGATTCATGTACATTCTCTCTTGGTATTTCTGTCTCTTTTTCCAAGACTTTGGGTCACTTGACTCCAATTACTACGCACGAATGTGACCGTTCATATTCTGTCTCTTCACCTTCACGCCCCTATAAATGCACGTATATTTCGCACTTTTCACTTTCATTTCCATTCTTTTCTTTAAAAACTAATTCGCTGCCATCGTTTGATATTTAAACAATCGATCCAAAATTTTCGTCTTCCATAGAAATGGATCATTTGATCTTTCCATTTTGCTACCTGTTTTGATGTCACCTTTGGTATGGGAGATATAGGAAATATTTTTTGGCCAGCAAAGTTCTTCCCATCGTCTCAAAGATGGGAGGCAATGTTTGAGGATACTTTTCAAGCCACCTTACTTGTTGAGAGTGCTTCTCAGTCTCCTTGCCCATTATTGCAGCAATGCGATTAGGTAGGTGATTTGAGGGTGCTTTTCTTCCTTTTTGCTTGCTGAGAGTGCTTCTCGACCTCTCTGCCTGCCTTTGCAGCAGTGTGATAAGAATGGCAATCAAGGCCAGTTCACCCTCTTACTTAGCGATCGACCGAGGAATTAGTTTGCTCTCAATTGTAGCTTATAGAGCATTTAATATTTTATATCTCACAATATTTTGTATTTCACAATTTGTAATGAATGTTTGATAATAAAGGAATTTATTTGAACGTATTTCGTTCTGACACTTTTTATATACGATCGATCAACGTGATTTGATTATACTTTTATTTGTTCACTTTCCAATAAGGAAGGAACATATTTTTTTTAAATATTCGTCATTAATGAACCTCATGTGCTTGGTGCCATCTAAATCTTCCAAATGATAGGCTCCATTAGTCAACACACTATTTACTTTATATGGCCATTTCCAATTGGGCGACCACTTGTCATATTTTAGATCCTTGCTATCCAAAGGGAGTATTTTTTTCCAAACCAATTCGCCCAAGCTAAATGACTTGGCTATAACATTTTTATTATAAAACTTAGTCATCCTTTGTTCCTGAACTTGCAATCTATCTAGGACGTCCAACTTTAATTCGTCCAACTCCAATAAGTTTTGAACTAGTAATTCGGTATACTCATCATCACTTAACTTATGTTGCAAACACACTATGATCGATTGCACGTTGATTTCCATAGGCAAAATGGCCTCCTGTCCATAAGTAAGTTGAAAAGGAGTAATTTTGGTACTTGACCAAGACGACGTCCTATAAGCCCATAAGGCCTTGTTTAGACATTTGTGCCAATTTCTGGCATTTTCATCTATCATTTTCCTTAAGATATTTTTTAGAATCTTATTAGAAGATTCTGCTTGCCCGTTGGATTGAGCGTAATACGGTGTGGAGTTCACTGCTTTAACTCCAAACTCGCTCAAAAATTTATTCACTTGATCTCCATTTAAAGAAGTTCCGTGATCTACCATCAAAGTTTGTGGAATCCCAAATCTATAAATAATATGATCACGGATAAATTCTATGACACTCTTTTGGGTGATTTCTTTTAAAGGTACCGCTTCTACTCGTTTAGTGAAAAAATCAGTCGCAACTATAACAAAGGTATGTTGCTTGGACGATGGGGGATAAATCTTTTCTATCAGGTCTATTTGAACGATCAGGGTTTGATAATGGGTGTCATCTCTCTTACTGGCGCCCTTTGTATTGGACCATGCTTTTGACATGCTAGACAACTTTTTGCATATTGAACACATGATTCTCACATCTTGGGCAAAAAATATCCATTCCTAATAATTAATCATCTCATCCGTTGGCCAGTTTGATAAGCTCCACATATCCCTTCGTGCACCTCAGCCATGATTGTCCTGGTTTCTTACAAACTTATACATTTTAGTAATATACCATCAGAGCATTTCTTAAACAACTCTTCATCTATCAGTATATAGTTTAACAAACGCAACTTCATTTTTCTACTATCTCCTTTATTAGGTTCTTTAAGGAACCTTTTAATCTCTACCCTCCAATATATTGCATCTCCATCTTGTATGCAATGAATTTCAATCATTCTCGCCCTTCTTTGGACTACGGACAATATTACTCCATATTCATAAGTAAATTTTCAATTTAAAACCTTTGAATACCCTGAGGTTATCTGGGCCAACTCATTTGTTACGTCATTATATATCCTATTAACACATTGAAGCTCTATTTGGTCAAATTCTTCCAACAACTCTTGGGCGATTTCATATTGACTTATAATGGAATCATTTTGGCGCTTAAAATCATCAATCAATTGGTGAATTACCAATTGAAAATCACCTCCAACGATCACATTCTTTATTTCCATATCTATCATTAATTCCAAGCCCACGATTAAGGCTTCATATTCGGCTTGATTGTTGGTGCACATCCTATCCAAAGTGAATGCAAACTTGTAACAAATTTCTAAAGGATTTATCAATGCTACTCCTACTCCTGCACCTTTAGAGATTTTTGACCCATCGAAATACAAAATTCAAGGTTTTAATTCGAATGAATTGGTTTCTAATTCAATTTCTTCAGGTATGTCAAGGCATGGATGATTGGCCAGAAAGTTAGCTAAAGCCTGATTTTTTATTGTCTTTTGGGGTATGTATTGTATTTCGAATTCTGATAATGC